CGCTCCAGCCACCGCTGTCAGCTGGCAGCCCCTCTGCTCAGCCTCAGCCCACCATCATTGCGGTGCGAGCCCCGCGGGACTGCCATCCTCCAGCGTCGCCGGGGTCGGAGTATCCCTCGCCTCCAGCCTCCGAGGCCCGGACTCCGCCTTGGCCCGTAGACCCAGCAGCTCCACCTCGGCTCCTAGCTCCCTCACCTCCACCATCACCCGTCGCTCCACCGGGCTCCCTCGTCCCTCCGGCTCCGCCTTGGTTGGGCGTCGACCCGCCATCGCCTCAGGACTCCGCTCCACCGGCTGCACCTTGTTGCTCCGTCGTTGTGCCAAAGTTGAGTAGACATCCCTGTGATTAATGATTGTGCTTTAATTTTCCCCTGCAGACAGTTCTCTCTGTGTTCGCCTTTCCTCCTCCCTCTAATGAGCTGACACATGCCGATTAAAGACTCGTGACAGAAAAGTGGAGTGAGGGTTGTTAAAATGTCAGTGCCCTCGGCTAAATCTTAATAGCAGAGACACATGGGTGCTCTGACTTGTGAGTCTCTCTATGAGACAATAAAGCTGAAGAAGGTCGTAACACCTCTGGACCCACCAACCGGAAACCATATGTGGTCAAAGAGATCTTCCTAAAGCTACTTACCATTAAGAGTCTAGGGCTTAAAGGGCCATAGCAAGGACAATTTTATTTATAGTTTATAGATCCATTGTAATGGACTGTAACCCTTTATATGAATGTGTAAGTTTTGTTTGAACTATGAAAGAGACATTTTACAGCTTTCAATCCACTTTGGCTTTCATTTTGATCAGAGACCTAAAGGATAATTCTTCATGCTTTAAAGTTTTTATAAGATGTTACTTACCTTGTGAAAAAAGTGTCACCTCCCTATACAAATTTATGATGTCATTAACACATTAAACATTTTGTTGCACACACGTCTTACACGCCAGTGTGTAAATGATGTGATGTGTTGCCATCTTAATCATCTTATAATGCAGATGCTTTAATGAATGATGAACCATAGAGAATTAGGTTCTGTTACCAAGGTGATTATTTTCTCACATTATCCTTGAGCTGGATTGAAGCTCACACTGAGAGGATAACAGACTGAAAGCACCATCACACTACGATATCTGTTTTGGACATTAAACAATGTATATAGTAATTTTAGTGGAAAATAATGCAGAAAAATCCTGTTAGTTGGGTACTGTAAGTTATCTTACCATATAAAATGTACAAAGATTATAACAAGAAAATACATGTCATTTTACTAAATTAATTTACAAGAATAAAAATTATATAAAAATACTCAAAAACCTATATTTAAGGTTTTGAAATTATATTTAAGATTTTGAAATTATTTTTATTGCACAGCAATATGACAGATGTCTGTGCAAAATCACATGGTTATCTCATTTAAATAATGTTTCTAATTTTTATTATCAGTTAAGTATACAATACTTTTACATTTGTTTAGTTAATGTTTACTGCATTATTTTAGAGGCATTTATTGCTACTCTGATTTGCGGTTCATGCAAAGGCCAATTTTGACAAAATCTGTAATCATGTGATCTATTTTACCATTTGTCAGTGCATTTTAATGTTCAAAGAAGATTTTTATAGTTCAACAATGAAGGGTCACATTGAATATGGCTATGAACTCTAAAAAATATACAGGTCCTACAATGTCATTCCATAATACCTGAAACATCACTGTATTTTTTGTGGATTACACAGATTGAGGCAGTACGGGGGATTTCAAAGCATTTATAAAACAACTTCCAAGGCTGTGTTCATTATCATGACCATTTCTTTCATGTTGATAATGCCACAACTGGAATAGATTTTTTTTTAATTTATTTATTATTATTATTTTACACAACATAAGAACACAGCAGATGTTGTCTTTCTGTACATGGATTTTTTTTGTGCCTTAAAACAAAGGCAAAATCAATGTCACTGAAAAGAAAAAGCTTTAATTTTCTTTTAAAAATATCAATTTAATAACAGGTCCCAGTATCACGTCCTTATATAGTTGTTTTTTTCCCCATTAAGAGTTTCTCTATAATATGCAGGAAATGTCATTTCCTTGAATAGAAAGGCTTTTTTGTGAAATCTAATTTTTCCTTCCATCCAGGTAACCGATACAAAGCTTGTATCCAGTAGGAGCCCCAGGTAAGAGGTCACAGGAAGGCACCAATGCTTTCCTCTTACCGTGATGCTCGGCGTGTGCAGTGAAGATGGAGGCGTGTCTCTCTCGGGTGATGGATCTTGCTCAGAGCGGCTCTCGAACCTCCCTCAAGGTAAACATCCACATTAATCCATGGGTTTCCAAAAACATTAATAAAAAGACAGCAGAAAATATGATTTGCAGATGGAAACAAAAGAAATGGTGCAAAACGTGCACATTCATACGATCATTCATACGATCTATATACTATGAGCGCCTATGCACACCCACACACACACACACACACACATACTCGAACGCACGTACACAATGAGATGCAGACACTCCATCTAGTCTCCAGCAGTCGTACATTCACACGGTGCTCTCTAGAATCCACTCTGAACTGGAAAAGGCAGTTTTCTCACTGTCTAGATTTGAGTTCGCCATTTGGACTAGCATTCCATTCACAGACATACTCCGCTTGCAAAACACGTTGCCCAGTTTCTGCGAGCCAATGTAGCAGTGATGTTTCGACAGGTTCTCGTTCAAAGAGTACCTGCGTTTAGCCCGTGCTCCTTCCACGGGCAGTGTCATATACTTGGACGAAGACGGACGAGCCCTCCTTAAAATTGGAGTGTCTTTGAAGCTAGATGGAGGGGTTGGGACTGGCTGCTGAAGAGCGGTGGAGTTGTTGCGGTTGGTGTTTTGCGTCTCTGCATTAGGTAGCGCCTCTACTTTGGGCTCGGCGCCGGCCGCCGGGACAGGCTTTGGCGCTGGTTTGCGCTTTGGCTTTAGTGACCCTGAAGAGCCGGGAGTTGTCCAGCTTTGGCTTATCAGGGAAGTGGAGGTGGTGCAGTCTGGGATGGAAGTCTCTGAGGTGTGGGTTTGGGAATCTGGAGGGGGAGGAAGAGGTGCGGCGGAGCTCTTTTTGCACCCCTCGCCCTCCTCTAAGCTGAAAGCACCTTGTTTGGAGGCAGACGGTGTGACGGTACAGCCTTGGGATTGTGCCCCGTTGGTTTGAGAGTGCACGTCGGTGACCGAGGTCCCCTTGGCGGCGGCGCCGCTGTTGCACACCTTGTAGCGGATCATGAGGATGATGATGAAGATGAGGACGGAGGCGACGATTATGCCCCCGATGATGATGATCATAGTGCCGCCCAAGAACTGGGACTGCATGAAGTGGCAGCGCAGATATTCAGATTCAGTGGTGAACTGCACGCAGCCCACAACCCGCGTAGCCGTCAAGGAGGTTATGCCGTCGTCGTAAATGGCCAGCACACAGAGGTCGTACTGCGTCCCGGCGGCCAGGTTATTCACCAGGAAGTTTTTACTCGTTGGGGGAATCATTCTGTTGGGTGTAGAAAAGAACAGTGTTAGAATAAAACATGATATGTTTCATTCATCATTCATTTATTAAACAGCCGTAAGGCTTATTAACAACCTCAAGAGTGGTGCCAGTTCATGCAAAATTTTAATTTACATCTTTTTCAGCTCAGCATCAGCCCTGAGAGAGTAATATACTCCTACATATATGGATAAGAAAAGAAAAAAAACATTTTTTTTTGTGGCAATTCATATAGATACACCTGCAGTGTGAACAATGAAAAAAAAAAAAAGAATAAGAATGACTTATGCAGTCTCTAAATTAAAAAAAAAAGTTTATAATAACATCATGTCCACTTGACCATAATGAAATATGTCATAATATGATATACATACGCAATGTAATATATGCATACACTACCATTCAAAAGTTAAAGGTCATAAAATATGTTTTGATGCTTTTGAAAGAAGTCTCTTATGCCCACCAAGGCTGCATTTATTTGATCAAAAATATGAAATTTTATTCCATTTTAAAATAACTGTTTTCTATTTTAATAATTTTAAAATGTCTTTTTTTATTCATTTATCTATTGCAAAGCTGCATTTTTAGCAGTTATTATTACAGTCTTCAGTGGCATGATTTTTTTCAGAAATCATTCTAATATGATGATTTAGTGCTCAAGAAACATTTTGTTATCAATGTTGAAAAGAGTTGTGCTGCTTAATATTTCTTTAGAAAATGCACTATTAATTTTCAGGACACCATTTATTTTGGAAAATTTTTTTTTAAAGGTATTTATTTCTTAAGGAAGTAAGGAAGGAAGGAAGATAGGGAGGAAGAGAGGGAGGGAGGGAAGGAAGACCTTACTGACCCCAAACTTTTGAACAGTATATATTTGCCAGAAAATAAGTAAGGTGTACAGTCCAATCAGGACCCTGATGCAAAGCAAATTCTTCTAAAGGGATTTATTTGTATAAAAAAATGACCAGCTGACTGCTATAAAGCAATCATCATACAAAAATATATGACTGGTGGTCACCACAACTGAGCAAACAACTAGGGATGCACCGATACCACTTTTTCCAGTACTCGCCCGATACCGATACTTTTACGAGTACAGGAGCTCAGTATCGGGCCCGATACCGATATTAGTATCGGTATCGGTGCATCCCTACAAACAACTATTCAAAATTAAATCAAACCAAATCCAGGGTCCAGTGGTATGATGCTCATTTTGGTCTGTGTTCTGGAATCAAAAACCCACGCGTATATACAATTTTCATAATCTAAGCAGAGAGCAGGATAGAGAAGATTGCACAGGGCTCTGTACAGGAACACCCCAGTACTAAGCTATTGATAAATATGCAAATTTTCAAGTAGGATTTTCATGTGTTTAGCAGGCTCAGGCACGGAGCATGCGGAGAATGTATTGTACTATTCTGAGCATGTAACAATAAACACGTAAAACAAACTCTGATATCAGGACTATCTCTTATCTGTAGCGTGTTTACTCTGCTGCAGGCGTTTAATCACATAATCTAAGTCTGAAGTGGTGGTAAATCTGCTTCGGTGCTATATCTACAGGAAGTCCTGCTGTACCTGAAGGAGCCTGGGGTCTGCTATCACTCTCTGAACCGTTCACTTCAGACGTGAACAATAGCATCTCTTATCATCCTTTCCCATGTGCCCCACCTGTTTCCTCCGCAGCCTGGCAAACATTCAGCCCGCTGAAAGAAGCGCTCTGTGATTTCCCATGCAAACCGACTGGATTTGGAGCACAAAGGTTCTCAGTAGAAGCGGCCTCGCGTACCAGCCGGTCAAAGCGTTTCAGTATGCTGGGTGAGAGCGTCCGCCGTCATACATACAAATGAATGAGCCAAGCATTTTAATTGCAGGGTTGTTCTGAGTAACTGAAAGTGTGTTTAATGGTGTCAAGCTGCTAGGGTGAAAATATTTCCATGGCTCTACTGTTTGAGTAAGTACTAATTTTATGCATTGAGACTTGAATATATCCTCCCATTTCTGGATGCTTCATTGTTAAATGTAACATCTAATTAGCTCACTGCCTAGACTCTATTAGTGTCACTATGTCTGGATAGCATAAGTTTCCTCTGTGGAGGAGTTTCTTGATACTAGCAGGCAGTTGGTGCTGTTACCGTGAAGAGGTTTAAAAGTTTACAATGCTTGGCAATGACAACAAAAACTGGGTAAAAAAAAAAGTACAGAGAGAGAGAGAGTACTTTGTCAAAGTTGTACACAATTAAAAGTCAAAGTATTCAGCCAAATATGAAAGAAAAAGTTTCCACATTTAATTGTACTTAATATTTAATAGTAGCCTAAAGAGTACTACTTGGCTTTTGAAAAAGGCTGATGAAACCAGCAGGAGATTTCTCATTAAAGTAACTTTGATGCTCAAACTCTGCAAAACATTCATTTTAATCACAATCTTGTTGATATTTTAGTGTTTCTTGGACTGATCAATGTTCATCTCAAGCCAGATTTGCTTAGAGTTATAACATGCACTGATTTAGATCAAAAACTCTACACTGAGGTGACTGAAAAATCTAAAAAATGTCTCATCTCAAGGATGAATGACCACAGTTTTGGCCAATTACATTTTACACTGATTGTTTTTTAGTTTGAAGTTCAAGGAATTTAGACTGGACTTGCTAACTCAGTAGGACAGACAAAAATATATCTTATTTTTAAAAAGAGTATAGATATGTGTCATGATGAGCAGTGACATGTTTATTCTGTACTTTGAAGGTCTAAATGAAATTACAATTTCTGCCTTAGAAATATACTTGAGTAACAGTCTTCAGTTTCCCATAAAATAATTAAGCACAATTTATTCAAGTATTTTACACCTCCGAGAAATGAACACAGATTCTGATGATAAGTGAATTATGTACTTTGTAATTTGAAGGTCCAAATTAAATTACAAGGATTAAAAGACATGATTCTGATGATCTGCCTTTAGAAATGTAACTGGGTGAAAATATTCACTTTCAATGGTACTTGAATAAAGTAAAAATTCTGTTTTTACTATTAGTCTCCAAATCCTTTTATCAAAATGCTTCCCCTGTGAAATGGCATTCCTTTTCGACTGACATCACAAACTGCTCTTACACCAGACTACTTAAAGGATTAGTTCACTTTCAAATTAAAATTTCCTGATAAATTACTCACCCCCATGTCGTCCAAGATGTTTACGTCTTTCTTTCATCAATCGAAAAGAAATTAAGGTTTTTGATGAAAACATTCCAGGATTATTCTCCTTATAGTGGACTTCAACGGCTACCAAACGGTTGAAAGTCAAAATTACAGTTTCAGTGCAGCTTCAAAGCGTTCGACACAATCACAGATGAGGAATAAGGGTCTTATCCAGTGAAACGATTTTCTTCTTCTTCTTGTAGCGTTTATTGGCGGTGGGCAAGCCAACTTTTGGTGCATTACCGCCACCAACTGAACTGGAGTGTGGAGTGACAATGAGAAGGCTTTATAAAAAACAAAAAAAAATTAAAAAATAAATAAATACAATTATTCCTCATATTCTCATGAAGATTCCCATGTCTATTAGATAACTTATTATCATTCTTCTGAATTTTCTATTGCCTAATATTAGTTCTAATGTCATATTATTTGCACCTTTTGATTGTATCTTTGTTTCCAGCATCTGTCTCTCTTTACTATATGCTCTACACTGTAATAAAATATGCTCAACTGTTTCAATTTCACCACAAGATCTACATAATCCAGAAGGATGTTTCCTGATTTTATGTAAGTTTCCATTTAAAGATGAATGTCCTAATCTTGATCTTGCTATTATTACTTCTTCTCTTCTTTTAAAGTCACTTCCAGTCTCATTATTTTGAAATCCTACTTTCTTTTGGATTTTATACAGATGTCTACCTGTCTTCTCCGTATCCCATTTATGTTGCCAAGATTTAATAACAGCTTGCTTAATAATTGTCTTGCTTCTGCTTTGCTGATTTTTACATCAATTTCTACATTATTTTTTAGGGGTAGGGGAAAAAATCGATACAGCATAGTATCGCGATATTTTCCGCAGCATGCAAAGTTATCAGGAAAGCCCCGTCCGCGTTTAATCTCTTAAGACCCGAGAAAAGATTTTTAGGAAAAAATACTTTTTTTCATGTCTTTACATTGTTTAGAGCATACATTTTTATTTTTTTTCATGTTTTTTTAAAAATGATATTTCATTCATAAGTTATGCTATGTCCTCGGTAGAGGACATCGGGACTGAAAATATAGGCTACATATAATAATAATATATATTATATATATATATAATATATATATCATACTTTTCTGATAATAGAATATTGAAGTGGAGATCGCTAAACTGCAAGCTAACCGGTGTTTTCAGAAAGCAAGCGCCTTTATCCTCAGTGGAGACAGCGCGCGTACACACGGTTGCCAGGTTGACAAAGATAAGCATTTAACAGATATTTCCGTATTGCGTAAGTGGGAAGCTCTGTTTCGGGGATTACGTCTCTTCATATCAGGCAACCCCAGTTGTGTTCCTCTGCGGCCAGAACAAACCTCGTTGTAGCCTATATATTATGCTCTATTCATTATTTTTTTGAAACCTTGCACTTTTCTACTCCGTTTTAAACGGTGTTCTTGTATTCAAGCGCGGTCTATATCTTGTATATAAGCGCGGTCCACTGCTGCACACGTGCTGCGATATCTATACAGGGCCAGCTGTATCGATACTTGTATCGTCAGATCTCTGTGACGATACATCGTGTCTATTACAGGCATTTTAAATAACAACGATGGGAGTGCAAATATAAGCACTGCATCACTATATTTCCTATTTACTAAATCCATTGTTTGTGCCATTTCTTCTGCCATCCAACCAATGCTTTTTATATTTGTTCTCTCATGTTCCCAGCATTCTTCAAAAAAATCGCCTTAGTTGGATGTTTACTATTGTGGCCTTTTAAAGATACCCAGTAAACCATTTTTTAATTGCATGCATCTTTCTTCTAATGGCATTTCACCCATTTCTACCTGCAGTGCAGCTTTGGATGATGTTCTAAATGCTCCGCAGCATATTCTCAAAGCTTGTGTCTGCTCGGTCATTTTCTAAAAAATAATAAAAATGATATACTTTTTAACCTCAAATGCTCGTCTTGTGTAGCTCTGCAATGCGCATGCATACTCTGTGCAGTCCCGTTTGAAACAGTTAGGGTAGGTCGAAAAACTCTCATCTCATTTTCTCCTACAACTTCAAAATCGTCCTACATCGCTGCAGAAGTACCGACCCAGTGTTTACAAAGTGAACATGCAAAGAAGGTCAAAGCCCTTTCCAAAAAAAAAACAAAAAAAAACGGTAAAACAGCGATGTAGGACGATTTAGAACGATTTTGTAGTTGGAGGAGAAAATGAGATGGGAGTTTTTCGACACACCCTAACTGTCATGAACCGGAATGCACAGTTCACGCAGAGCTAGACAAGATGAGCGTTTGAGGTTAAAAAGTATATAAATTTTAATTTTTTTTAGAAAATTACCGATCGTTTCGCTAGATAAAACCCTTATTCCTCGTCTGGGATTGTGTAGAAGCTTTGAAACTGCACTGAAACTGTAATTTTGACCTTCAACTGTTTGGTAGCCGTTGAAGTTCACTATAAGGAGAATAATCCTGGAATGTTTTCATCAAAAACCTTAATTTCCGTTCGACTGAAGAAAGAAAGACGTAAACATCTTGGATGACATGGGGGTGAGTAAATTATCAGGAAATTTTCATTTGAAAGTGAACTAATCCTTTAACATCCACTGCAAGATCCAATCAATTTCTCATCGAATATTCTGTTATAACTCAGAAATACATTGTGTAAGATGTGAATGACATCTCATATTGACTTAAAGCTCAGGAATGATAGTCAGAAGGTTTTAGAACTCAAAGAATCAAGCTAACAGCCATCATCATTGTGCCCATGAGCAAGACACTTAACCCCAAGTTTAACAGGGGATTGTCATTTATAAGTTCATGGCACTTTTCTGCAGCTTTAACACAGAAACAAATTCCACTGGCCTTGTTTTTGTGGCGAAAATTCGATTATAGTCTGGGTTTCACTGCGACCGGTCTGTTACTAAATGTGTTAACTGAGAAGGGAGCACTTGATAACAACATGGGGTATCAGCCAGCTGCTTCTCTAGTAGAAAATAGGTCGAGATGTATCTGTAGTCTTTCTGTGGGCTTCATTTCTCATCATTTGTGAAAAGAGCTTCCCACATAATGTGCTCTGTACAAAAAAGATGAGGTAATGGCTTTGCTTCCGCAGTGTGTCTCATTGAACGTGAACGCTCATGGCCAGTGTGTTATTGTAATTAGCCAACTGTGGCTCATTTACAGCAGCCCATTGAGATAAAGTAAGCAAAAAAATGAATCTCTTTTTGATTCCCCCAAGCGAGTCTGCAAAGCACGTAATTATGAGAATGTATTAATGAGTACAGAGTATGTGAAAGGAAATACTGTTTGAGATAGCACTAAAACATATTGACTAACACACATAATGGTTTCTGAATATAATCAACACTATAAACTATAGCGATTATTCAATTTTATACTTTAATACGCTCTAGGTAGACACTCTTGCTAATCTTAATCAAAGAGGTTCATGGATTTTGTTCTGTGTTCAGTCTCCCAAGTGCCCACAACCTCTTTCAACCATCAAACCAGACCAGGTAAGACCGGCTTAGGCTGGTTTAAGCTGTATATTTCAGCAGAAATAGCTGCAATAGAGAACAAATGACAAAATAGCACTATGTTATCAAATATTCATATTCACAATAAAACCATTGAGGGTGGTGACACCCTGATCACCAAAATTCTCTTCAGTTAAAAAGTTATTTAATTGAAAAGTTTTCCATAGATTTGCATTTATATCTGGAATTTTTCCAAACTTTCCAAACATTTGCCCGGTCCGCCATTGGTCAGTTGGTCATTGATCAGTCCCGCCCCAAACTCACACTATTGGTATAAACACTGAAAAACTTCAAAAGTATAAAGTTATAGTTAGAAAAATGTAATGCAAATTAAAGTCTGGGCTACAATATGACAAATCACAACCACAAAAAGACAAAAGCACTGCACAGTCTAAAAGCCAGGCTGCAAAAACGAATACACCGAAAAACACCAGCATTATTCATTTAAGAGAAAATTTGAAATGGATTTCTATTCTACCATTTCACATGGACAGAAAGCACAGCATTGATCCATCCATCCATTAGAACAACACAAACTAGTGATGGATTTTTGCACTAATGTACAAAATATTAGGTCCTTTTTCTCAACTGGCCCCTTTAACACCTTGCTGTTGACTTAAAGGGCAAAAGTCAGTTCAATCATGCATCTAGAATGATTGTGTTTTTTCAACTGCCTTTCAAACCAAATTGTTTGCTCTCCTCTTGCTGGTTGGTCTGAGAGTAAGACGGGTTCTTAAATTTCAATCTACAACTCATTTCAAACCACATACTGATATATCAGCCCATTTTACAAATGTTTGCGTTGTATTATTTATGTGAAAAAAATGATGTCCAGAACTGTACACAACTTAGTGAAATTTTGATGGATTCATTGGATGAAGTATTGATGGTGTTTACTTCACATTGCTATTCTATTAATTGTGTACTAAAATGTAAATCTGAATGAATCTAAAATGTTAACATCTGAAATTCAATCTTGAATGAGAGGCGTTCGAGAAGGGGTCAATAAGTTTCAATAGCCGTGGCCATTTCATTCATACTGTAGATCTAAAGCAATGTCATACCATGTGTGGAATACTAAGTTCACTGTATAGTAAACACATTCTAATTCAGTTCAATCCTAAATTTTACTCCTTGGTCGTTTCACAGTAGGAATAAGTTGTTCTTGTTAAGCTAATTGTCCTTATTGGCTTTTCTCTAAATGATGGTGGTGGGACTTCAGTCAGCAAAGCCAAACAAGCAAATTGAACAAAGAAACAGCAACAACAAAAAATAATGACTAACAATAACTGTTCAAAATCCACTCCAGGAAATGGCTAAACATCTTTGTCTAATAAACCTGGTATTATATATTATGAATATTGTTGGCTCTTTGACAAATTGCTCTTAATCCTCTTTTGTACACTACTTTTGTACCCTTACAAAAGTTGCACCTTTAGGGGTACAACTGCTAGTCACTGGGCCAGTACCCTCAAAGGGACACCTTTGTACGTTCTTTACCCTTAAAGGGTGCAAAATAAGTGCAATAAGCATACATATTACTATTTTAAGGGTACATATTACTACTCTAAGGTACTATTATGCAACATCTAGGGGTACACTTCCTTTAAGGGTCTTGTAAATGCATAAATGTACAAAGTAATTATTGCTCACCTGTAAACAAGAGAGTCATCATAGGTTCCATTATACTGAATCTGAAACATGCGTATTCCAGGTATATTCCTCTGAAAGTTAAATTTGATGAGTGCTGTGGATGAGGTGGCTTCTGACATAACCACCCTCTTATCAGAGCTGGTTTTGGCATCGCCGGTGTGGTTGCTGCCATTTGCTCCTGCCCTTGTCGAAGTGGAGATGTCAGAAGAGCCCGGGTCAGGCTCTTGGATGTTATTAGTGCTGTTGCTAATGTGCGGAAGCTTGATGATGACCAGCTCCACGGTTTGGTGGGCCTCCCCGGCAGGATTTGAGTAAATGCATGTGAAAGAGCCCGTGTCCTTTACTGTGCTAATCAGGATGTCCAAAGTTCCGTTGTTGTAAACCAGCGTGCGTGATGAGTTTGAAACCAACTTCCCATCGGGAGATATCCAGTGAATGGCAGGTTCCGGATCTCCCCTAGCTTTGCACTTTAATGCTACCCGTTGGCCCTCCAGGACCCTCATCTCGTGAGAGTGGCGGGTGATGAGGGGTGGCTCGCAGAGGAACTCCTCCTCTGGGATATTCAGTACACCAGACGTGGCCAGAACCTGCGCCCGCTGGAAAAGCGGGTCCGGTGGAAGCTTCTGGAGCTTGTTGGAGGTCACGTCCAAGCGGTTGAGCTTCTGTAAGAGGGAAAAAGTCCCCTCAGGAATGTATTCGATCATGTTATGGTCCAGACTAAGAGTGTGTAGGCTGGTCATCTTTTGAATGGCCTCCCAGGGGATGGTCTCCAGGTTGTTGTAGGATAAGTCCAGTTCTTCGAGGGCTAGTAGGTCATTAAAGGCTCCCATGTGGATGAGGATCAGTTGGTTGTTGTTCAGAATCAGGTGATGCAGCTTAGACATGCCACTGAAGACATCGTTGGCTATTCGCGTCAACCGGTTGTGGTCTAGATGCAAGGCTCGTAGGTTATCCAAGTCCGCGAACGCATGTGGAGTGATGTAGCTTATTGTATTCCTTGACAAAGTAAGATCCACCAGCTTGGTCATGTTGGCCAAGTCTTTCCGTTTTACACTGGTGACAAAGTTATCAGCGAGCCGGAGCTCCACGGTGTGCCTGTCTATGTTGGGCGGAACAAAGAGCAGCCCTTTTTTGGCACAGAGTGTTGCGAGGTTGGGGGACAGAACTTGACAGACGCAGCGCTTTGGACAGATCTGGGCCTTCACTGCCATTCCGATAACCAACAAGCAGACAAGCAGTTTTTCCATTGTAAATCAGGTTTTTACACCTAGGGAAAAGAGGGGAAAAAAAGACAAAGGGTGTGATTAATATACTACTGTACCTTTGAACTACAATTTTAAGCAAATCAGGCCTTTATTTAGTTAGAGCATAATTGCATTCGTAGATGTTTATCATACACCAGTGCTTATCACAGCCAGAATGCATGTGATAACAGCAGGTCATTGGTTATCCCGCAGTCATTTCAGGAACTGTGATAAACAGTTCATCTTGCACAAACAAAACCCCATGTCAGATGTAGGAAATCAGCAGTTTTGTAACACAGCAGTAACATTTCCAGGCTCAAAATCAGTGCTGCCAGATCTCAAAAGAAAAACAAGCAACCTGCTCTGATAAAACAAGTCCAAAATAAGTGACTCACTAAAAACAAGCAACCCGATTTTTGTCAGATCATTCTTTTGCCACATTAATTAAGAGTATGCTTGTTCAGACTCTAAATCAATATTTTCAAAGTTGTAATGTAGTTAAAATTATATTTATACTGTATGTACTATATATATATATATATTAATTACAGCCCGACCGATATGGGTTTTTTGGGGCCGATACCGATACCGATATTAGGGGGTTAAAAAAGGCCGATACCGATATATCGGCCGATATTCTTTGTGTATATTATAGTACAGTACCAGTCAAAAGTTTGGACACTTTCCCATTCGTGTGTCCAAACATTTGACTGGTACTATATATAGAATAAAGTATATGCATAAACAGAATATATATACATAAACACATTTTTTGCAATGATCACTCAAATGTGGTGATCAAACACTTATAATGGTGACAGAGATATATGTAAGGGCATTTAACAATTTAACAATAAACTTGCGATGAGTGCGATGCACAAAGTAACGGGGTGTTAGTTGTAACACACGTGGTTTGAATATTTATTTTACCATAGTAACATTTAAATTCTGGCTTAAGTAAATTT